GTGCTGACATGCATCCCATTTTGGTATCTGTTCGCACACTCCGGTAATGATGCGTAGAGCAGCAACTCATGCCTGTGCCATTCAGTAGTATTTAGTAAATTGAACTTTTGTATAAAGGTCTTAGAAAATGGCAAGGCAGAAAATGAATGTCTTCTTGCTGCTAATTTTATCTTCCACCACACACTCCTTTCTGGAGATTAAAGCATTATGAATCTATTCACTACAGAAAGTTATTTCAACTTTCATGGCACATATCAGGATGCAGAAAAGCAAGTACATGTTCATAGCTGTTCCTCGGGTCTCTCTGCTGGAAATACAACCTGTTAAACTGCTACACTTATGCTCAAAATAACTAAAAATAATGAAATAAAACAATTAACTGGTGAATCCTCATTAAATACAAATACTGAAATAAATAGTACAGCCAGGTAATTGACTGCATATGTAAACTAGCTGTAGATAATTGACATGACCTTCATTTAACGAGCCTCCTTCCCATTAGTGGAGACGACTGCCACAATTATGTGCCCTTATTCTAGCTGTAATTGTATGGACTTTATTGAAGTACAAACTAGGTCACATCTTCCTGAGATCTGGTCCACGGTGGGTGACCTCTTTTCATTGCTTCAGCTTTGCGATGCTGCATGAGAGAAGGAAGGATGTTCTTGCAGCCATGAGAATAGATGTTGTTCAGGAAACCAGTCTCAAACGTTACTTCTGACAGAGATGTCTTGTGTGACCTGGGGGAGTAGCTTAAAGCTGGGTCTCAGCATACATCTATTTGAAATAGCTTATATCTATTTTATATGAGTTAGCAGGTGTATACAACAGTCTATGGGGCAGCAATTGAGCCAAGATTCCCTCTGCTACACAAGTCTTTGATCTTTTATGCCCAGTGACATAGCTGAACAGGAAGAGTGCAGAAGTGGTGGTGTTCCTAGAAGGTGGGGAGTAGAGACCTGAACCTCCTACAGCTGAGAAGGGAGAGAATGGATGTATGATGGGACTGTAGAGTGAGGCTGTATCATCAGTGACATTATTTTGTATTTTTCTAGCTGCTTTTCTGACTAAAAGTAGCCATGGCTACTCTGTTTTGTCTGGCATACGGTTGTATTGATGCCCTCTGAACACGTGGTATCAGCCAGCTTGCTCCAGTTAAGAAATACTCAGCACTGATGAGCCTCTGTGGGAGACAGTTGCTCAGTCTGCCAAGGTAGCATCAGGCATGGGTGGACACAGAAATGCTGGGGCATCTCCATGCAAGGCCTCATAGTGGTGGATGTGCCCAGCATGGAAAGTGGCAGTTCCTTGCTCAGTAGTGGCATGCTGGGAAAACAGGAAAATACAGCAGTTCTCCCATGTTCCCACCCCAGTTCTGCTTCCATGTGGGGTGACAGTGACTGCCGCATAATCCGAAGGGTGTACATAATCTGTTAGTGTTTGGGGTTTATAAGGCGCTTATTGTAAAAGGACAGGTGGTATCTTTCAATCTTTGCAACATCATGAAGGTTTGATAGTTGGGGAGCGGGAGGAAAGGACTGGAAGCTGCCATCCAAAGTGTTTCAAATGACCTTTTTGGTGCTACGTTGGGATATTAGCCCTGCCTCGTTAAGTAGGAGATGAGCTGTGCATTCATGAGTCAGTTCAACAGTAGCTGAAAGGTTGTGTGTTTCTACCCATGAAGTGAGATTTAAATCTTATTATGCTATAGCATGTTAAACTAGTAGATTTTGAGCAGCTGCTACTAGAAATTGCTGTGGCCTCTAAAATGAAGAGATTTCCTAGGTGTTAAAATATTACTTTTTCATATTAAATCACTTGATATCATTTTGCTGCCAAAGACAAGGACTCTGTGTATTGCTCAAGTAACTGTCAAGATAGAATAATCTTTTCACATCCTGCTCACGCAGTTTGGCTTAGTCTGGGACTTCCTTACGAAGCAGTAGATGTTTGATCTGTGTTTGCTTGCTAACAATATTCCATGTGTCTGTGCTGCTAAAGATTACTTTGACATATTCTTCCACTGTCTTAAAGGGGAGGAAGAGGGGTGGCTTTTAGGGGAACACATTTTCTTGTATATTATCAGCATCTTATGTGGATAATGGCTGTCTTAAAGTTGTTGGTTTTCAGAGCCTAGTTGTACATTGTTTCTTGCTACCCTAGATAATAGAGGTGGTCATATGTCATTGGATGGGATGTAAATCGATCAAGCTTGACAGCAGTTTCCTTCCTAAATGGAAGGCAAAATTGATTAAGGAAGGATTAATTTAACACGAGGTATAAAGTACTGTTAGATCTGGTGACCAGCCAGCCATTGGGGGAGGATGCTGAGGGCTTATTGAAGTCAATTGGTGAGGTTTCTCTGTACCTCTCTGTCCTGTCTTCTGCCTTGTAAGAAAAATATCCATGCAAATGAAGTTGCACAGCCACTATTCTATTCATTTCACAGCCCTCCACAGCAAGTTCATCGCTACCATAAGTGAACAGCCCAATGACTGTAGTGAAGGATGTGGCCTGGTCCAGGAATCCTTCTATCTGTTGTTCAGCTGCCTAAGTTGAAAAGCAAATGTTCAGCCTCCAACTGGTGTATTTAGTTGATGGGTGCAAGCTTCTCTTTGTTTTGTGCTTATCTTGGTGCCTCTTGTCTTGTGTCCTCTCTTTTAAACTGGAAAGCCCCGTGGGGTACTACGTGCCCAGACGGACTCTGTCCTCCAGAGTCAAGATATTGGCTGGGACCTCTGGGCACTACTCTAATAAAAATAACAGGAACTTGATCAGGAGCCAGAAGATCTGTGTTCTGTTCACTGCTTTGGTGGTCAGAGAGTGATGTGGGTGTTTGGGTTTTTTTTTTTTCCCTTCAGTTTTATATAAAACAATTCTCAGAAGAGGGAGTGTATGAATATTATTTGTTGCCTGTTCCAGTGGCTCTGCATTTGTATGCTAGCTAAACCACCCGTTGTCCCTCTTGTCTTGTCTCTCCTTGTTTGATAAAGGAAGACTGATAACCTTCTTTCTTGTGTTGTAAATCATCTCTGTAGTGTTTCTCTTCCTCCCCTTTGAGGAAGAAATCTGATATTACTCCCTGTAGAATGTTTTAAAAATCCTAGGGTGAAAAAAATCTGCAAAATATTAATGTTCTGCATAGTTAGAGCAAACACTATGTTCCTGTGAGTCACAGATGTCAGGTTTGTTTAATCTTAATAAATCTATGCCACAATAACACTTTTAAACAGGAAAAGAGATGGAGGGATGAAGGAAGAATTGTGCTGGAGTAGAGAGGATTCTTAGCCAAAATCTTGTTTAGTAGGGGGCTGGGGGTGAGGGGGGCATAGACACAAACCCAAACACTTCCCACCCCTGACTTCATTAAGTAAACTTTGAGACCTACATTTTGGGCACTGCCTTTCTAGTACATATTTCCTTTTCTTTGCATGTTTTATGATAGATTGTCTTTCCATGTTCGAGTCTTAAGAGTACTAGTTTCCCACAGCACATTTGCAGGAGATGAAGTAAGGCTTTTTACATAGCACCCTGTTGGCAAACAGAAATAGCATTTACTCCAATGAGCGCTGCCAAGTATGAGGTACTTCTGAATGAACTTCAAAAGCTCTGAAACAAGCATTAGCTGCTGCTTCAAAAATGTGAACAACGCCATTGCTTTCTAGCAAGCAGACCTGGTGAGAGCAGGGATCGGAAGGAGGAAAAATAACAACTGGATGTGATGGATGTTGTAGTAGCACTTGAGATCAGACAGAAAGCATAGCTCTCTGTCACTGCAGGATTTGGGGGGGTTCTTTTTGTAATAGTACCCTAAGTGTGTAGTCTGCACTTGAGGAGGAAACAATTTCTACCCTGAGGAACGTACAGTCTACGGAGACTTAGCAAAGTGCTTGGGAAGGAGCAGTTAGACAATCCTGGGCTGTTGGGGGTGCTGCTAGGAGTGAGTCTTGCTGATTCCAAGGCTGGTGAGGGGTTTTCTTACTGGCACTCCTAGTGCTACTCCTCCATGCTAAATGAGGACAGAGCCAAGCATACGTATTAGCCTCAAAGCATGGCCCATAACGTGCGCCAGAACTTGGGGCAGCCCATGAGGGAAATGGGCAAACCGTTCTATGTTCAATATGGTAGTAGGGCTGGTTGTGCTTCTGGTTTTCATGCTGAGCTCTGGACTTTAACTGGGTTTAAACAGATGCTTTGCCCATTTGAGAACAGGCGGTATGGGGCTCTGGGAAAGTACAGTGGTTCTGGTACTGTCATTTCAGTATAGCTTTTATCAGCTCTGTAATCCAGCAGGTCCCTTCCATGGCATTCACATGATGCAAGCATCTGTCCAGCTCAAATTTAGTATGGTAGTGAGCATGCTGTCCTGGACCATTTTCTTGTTCTATATTTATGCATACATAACTTCTACTTTTGGATGAGGAATTGACCTGCTGAGACCTCAGAATTGTATGGCCTCTTCCTGTGTTTTGAAGGTTGCTTTCAAAATACAAATGCAATTTATCCTGGTGCGGTTCAGGTTTTTGTGGATAGAATGACAAAGTACTTTCGGCATAGAGAGATATTAAAAAGCAAATACTTGCATTTGCACTTGAAATGGAAGTCTTGCCTTTCACGCTTGCAAAGCTGCCTTTTACTGCAGAATGTTGCATTGCTAAACAGCAGTTCTGCTTTTGCTGTTACTTGAAATAGGTGTAATCAGTCAATAAATAAGGGGTCCGTATAGTATCTAATCTAATACTACAGAAGGACTTCGGCGTGCGAGAACTCTGACTTGCTTTTATCAATGTTGCCTAAGCTTTGGCATATGCTTTATCTGCAACTCTAAATCAAAGAATACCCTTGTACAAGCATATGATTTATCACTGGTAATGAGTTGCGGCTGCATGCAGCAGATCTCTGCAGAAAATGCATAATGTCTCCTGACAACTCGGGTGAATTTTTAACTTACAAGGGATGGAGTAATAAAATTTTTTTCTTGTTCTTGTCCTTCGCAGTTCCACCAAGTGAGAAGAGTGATGACCATCCTTTTCCTTACTATGGTTATCTCATACTTCAGTTGCATGAAAGCTGCCCCGATGAAAGAAGCTAGTGTAAGAGGACAAGGCAGCTTGGCTTACCCAGGTCTTCGGACCCACGGGACTCTTGAGAGCCTAAATGGGCCCAATGCTGGTTCAAGAGGACTGACATCGCTGGCGGACACTTTTGAACATGTCATAGAGGAGCTTCTAGATGAGGACCAGGACATCCAGCCCAGTGAGGAAAACAAGGATGCAGACTTGTACACATCCCGAGTCATGCTAAGCAGTCAAGTGCCTTTGGAACCCCCACTGCTCTTCCTGCTCGAGGAGTACAAAAACTACTTGGATGCTGCAAACATGTCCATGAGGGTCCGGCGCCACTCTGACCCAGCTCGCCGCGGGGAACTGAGCGTGTGCGACAGCACAAGCGAGTGGGTGACAGCGGCGGAGAAAAAGACTGCAGTGGACATGTCCGGGGCGACTGTCACAGTCCTGGAAAAAGTCCCAGTACCCAAAGGCCAACTGAAGCAATACTTCTACGAGACCAAATGCAACCCCAAGGGGTACACAAAGGAGGGCTGCAGGGGCATAGACAAGAGGCACTGGAACTCCCAGTGCCGAACTACCCAGTCTTACGTGAGAGCTCTCACCATGGATAATAAAAAGAGAGTCGGCTGGCGCTTTATAAGGATAGACACTTCCTGTGTATGTACATTAACCATTAAAAGGGGAAGATAGTGGATTTGTGTTGTATAGATTATATTGAGACAAAATTATCTATTTGTATATATACATAACAGGGTAAATTATTCAGTAAAAAATAATTTTATGGACTGCATGTATAACTGAAGTTTATACAGTACAGTGGTTCCACAATCTATTTATTGAACATATCCATGACCTGAAGGGGAACAAAAGTCATTTGCGCACAAGTTTAAAAAAAAAAAAAAAAAAAAGAAAAAAAAAAGAAAACCAAGCAAACAAAAAAGTCTGCATTACATTCCTCGATAACATTGTGGTTTGTTGCCGTTGCCAAGAATTGAAAATATAAAAAGTTTTAAAAAAAAAAAGAATAAAATTGCATGCTGCTTCAATTGTGAATTGATGATAAACTGTCCTCTTTCAGAAAAATAAATTGAACCAAAACATTCCGTTTACGTTTTAGACAGTAAGTATCTTTATTCCTGTTAGTATTATATCTGTTTACTGCTTTTAACTTCTGATAGCGTTGGAATTAAAACAATGTCAAGGTGCTGTTGTCATAGTTTTACTGTTTCTCTTTTACTTTTGAACTCCCATCAGATTGAAAAAGAAAAAAAGTCGTTACCTTATTCTGGATTAAAAACAAATTTGTTTTTTGTATGTTGTGAAGGTGTTTGCAATAGCAATCCAACTACTGACAAAAAAATAATAAAAAAAAAGAGGCAACTGAAAAAGAATGGTGATGTTCCACTTCACATTGTTGAACTTCAGGCTTAAAGACAGCACTTATTTAACTGTATGGCAACATGCTTTTTTGGGTTTTTTCTTTTCTTTTTTTTTATTATTTGCTGTCTTTTGAGACCTGCATTTGCTTATACCATGTTTGTTTGTGTTTGAGGGTTGTTTTTTTTTTTCCCTTTCCTCCCTCTGGAAGGATGTTGGTTGTGGTCTTTAAAATATTTCACTTACCATACGAGTGGTATACTCTTGAAGTAAGTGAAGAGCAAGCGCCAGCGGAGTTGGCTTAATGTTGCTTAGGTTCCGATAGACGTATTTAGCCTGTGCTACCCCTCTAACCATCCTGAGAAGTATTTCTAAAAAGGCAGGTTGTGAGCTGAAGAGCTGTGCATAGCACTTGCACTGACTACAGTGGGCAGAGAGGCAGAAATAGCTCATTAGTGAGATCACCAAAGGCAGATGCTATATTTGTAATTCCTGTAGATGAAGAAAAGTAGCTGAACAAAGAGGAAAATACTGCAAAAAGTAACTACTTCTGAATGCTGCAGAATCTGCATTAAGCTGGATGTTTTCAGTTTTGAGGCTGGACTCTGGTAGAGGGCGAGCGAGATGTAAGGCGCTGTTAGGACTGTTTAGGTGGCTAGGCGAGCCCACGGCCCCAGTGTTAGCAGGGCTGTGAAAAGGCTGCTGAGGGAAGTTTCAGGCCAGAACCATCTTTTGGTGCTGGCATCTTTTGTCTGGGAGCATTGGCTGGACGTTTTCAATTTTGAGTCTGGACTCAGGTAGTCTGCCTTGCTGTTCAAGGGCAAAGCTTATTTGAAATATGATTCCCCCACAATAATTCTGTTTGAAGAGTATATTTAACACTGAGTTTATGTCATTACTAGTAGAAAGTCATGGTGGAAGCTAACCTTAAAAATTGGTGATTTCTTCTACTTAGGGTAGAAGGGTTTCCCTTTGCTAGGATAACTGGCTGTCAAAGGAGAACCATCCCAGCTGTACAATGAAAACCTTTGGCATTGGCCACGTGCTCGCTGAGTGTGAAGAAGAGGGTTGTGTGACCCACCTGAACTTCAACCTTCCCAATCAATTGCAAATATTCAAGCTCCCACATAGAAATCAGAAATGAAAAAACCAAAAACAACCAAGCAAGCCCATACCTTACTGAAATATCTCAAAACTTCAACAATATTCCTAAACTACAGAAGAGAGATGGTGTAACGGTGGCTTCCTTCAAAACGGGCTGGTTGCTTAGGAAGAGGAAAGGATGATGCTAATGAGTGAACAACAGACACATCACTCATCTAGACTGGAAAAAGAAATGATAGCTAGGACGTGACAGTAATCTAATTCAGAGGCAGGAGTCAAATAATTCCCAGTTCAAATAAATTGAATTTCCAAAAGAGAAGTATTAATGCATAAATCATGCTAGAAATAACGTTCCTCATTTCCCCGTGTTAATCACGGTAGCGTCCTTAAGTCAGCAGTCCCCACCTGGCATAGGTAAGGGAGGTGCAGAATTAACAGTAGGTTCAGAGAGGTAAGGGCAGCCCACGCGGGACTCGGGGACGGTGCTGAGGACCTACAGAAGATCTGTGTCCCGTAACTACATCTAGAGTGATATTCCCCATAATAGGCCAATTCCATGCCTACCGATAGCACATGAAGCTGGCAATTAAACTGCAGTCCTGCGGCTCTCACCTGCCTGACCTAACGCATCCATGATCGCAGGCTTGGCAGTTTTCGTTGAAACAGAGTTGGGTGGGTGGGGGTGGTTTTCTTTCACATCACTTAATTGAACTCTTGCTGTGGTCTGTTTGTGACAAAGGTATATCATGCATGTCAGCAGGCCTAGTGCTGTGTTAAAGTAAAGACTCTTGCAACTGTAAGTTAATGTCTGTGGCCTTGTTCTCTATTATTCACCTTGTGTAACATAAATATTTATTGTATATTTATATAATTTTATGTTTTTTGGGA